GTTTGAATCCGCCAGATCTGTTTCTATCGTTAGAAACTGTCAATCACGTCTCATAAACCGTTAATGCCCAGCTCTCGCTACGCTCGGGCCCACGCTGTTCCTTGAAGATTTCAGAAACGCTTAGTTATAACGGACGAAAAAACCAAAACACCGATTGGCCGCTTGATATTTCTTTATTGTTACACCAACATATAAAAAGAATAAGTGAACTAAGGTCTGAAAACAAATATTACAATAATAAATCATGGTATTACTTCTGACGATGTTTCACTCTTCTTTCTGAACAGCGACCGATGAGACGATGACTATCGTTTTGATGCCTCCGCGAAAATTGGGGAAGTTGATTTTGAGCAAACAACCATGAATTGATCGTTCAATCTTCAACTCCATTGACAGTTCTGTTGCTCGGAAAGATAGTTGTAGAAGGTCAGGGAACTGATTTACTAAGTCAGTATATGGAGATGCTGGTGTGCGTGTAACCATCAAGTTCAGCGATGATGCACGGCTAATCGTACCAGCGATGTACCTTTTATTGAGCGAGTCTATAAGCTTAGGGCTTACCGGATCAACTAGCAGTTTGTGTTGCTGTAGAAAATCTATACCAAGGATTGGGGATGGAACGTCTGCGATGATGAAAGACCAAGTGTAGGTATTCTGCAGACCAAAATCTAAAGTCATTCGTTTACCTTCATACGTAACAATATTAGACTTATTAACGGCTTGGAGCGTAACTGCAGGGTCAGGATGTTTACGTTCCTGCGTAGACGGAGGGAGAACACTAACCTCTGCTCCTGTGTCGACTAAGAACGTAGTACCGGTATTTCTATCTGTTACATAAAACAAACGACTGCTAAATCGTAGATTGCCAACAGTAGAAGTTTTCATACATGATGATATATCTTTTGGTTTAGCCTGAAAGTTGCAAGGTGAACGACACCGTCATGCATTGCTTCCGTAACTACGGTGGTACCAGCAAATAGTATCGTGATGTCGTGACGTGCTGGGTGATCGAGAAAGACGTCGACGAGACGAGCTTCTGGAACGGCTTGGTCGTGTGCGTGTGTTCAGTGCTGCTAACTGACTCAGTACATTGTCGACTTCGTGTTCTAGAGCCTGTATCCTGTCGTCAGTGTCTGGCATTCTGCTGGTGGAAGCAACAGATTCAGGTGTTGACCTCTCATACATGCGATCTGCGATTTTGGCAAGCTTCTCAATGTCAATGTCGTCATCTCCGTAAGCAAGAACTTGTTGAATGTTTGCAGGAAGTCGTCGCAACCAAATTTGGTAAAAGAGACTTTTAATAATAATAATAATGTATATTCTCATATAAACATATAAATTTACATGAAAATGCATGCCATTTTTACAGGCACGATCAAGTATGATATAATATCAAATCGTAGATTGTCTACAAGTTAATAATGTTTAACAGTTAAATATTTGATACATATATAAATACACTCATTGTCTGAACTAGGCTGTATAGTTATTGAATTGTACAATTGTCCTACAGGTTGAGCGGGAAAATCGACTTCGTTTCGTTTTCACCCCGTGGTTGTCGGCATACGATAACCAACCAAAATTGAGGTAAGTACAACGTTTACAAGGGATTGAAAGCTGTTTTATAAAAGTAAAAGTGCTGAGGTGAATCATTAAATTGTAATGAAGTAGGTAAGTGCAAGTATCATTAATAAATGCATTAAAAAAAAGAAAACTCCCTAGGCTGACAACGTTCATTTGCAATGTATAATGCTACGCATATATCTCGTACTATCATGATGTCCACTTTTGGTTTTAATACATTTATCCTCAGTTGTGCCAGTTGTTTTTGTTTTATACCTTTTTGTGCATTTAGTGCACAACCGTACCCTACAGAGAATAGGAATAGAATAAGTCGAATCAAATTCATAAAGAGCTATAAAATGTTAGGTTTAATGGAATATAATGACGATCAAGTAAAGACGTTATTAGAAAATGAATCCGATAAGACATTGTGAAGTGGTATTTAAAGATCCGACAATGGACAGCAAGTTAGTTTATAAGATGCCCCATAAATCTGTGCAGATCCCACGTGGTCGCATCTCAACAATAGGCTGAGCGAATGGTATATATTTAAAGGCAGAAGCATAATCTTTCAAGGCGTTCATTATTATCTTTTTCAAGATAAAGATCTAAGCCCTCATAAAAATCAGAAATATCTCGAGCCTTTAATTTGTATATTGCTGTTCCTGCAGAATGGGGCGATTAACCTTAGTGACCCCCACCATATCTACTGATCAGCTAACGCCACCCTCCCTCCTTGTCGATATCCCTTCCTGCTACTAGGCTTTGCATGTGCCTCATGAGTTGTGATGGGGTTTTATCGCCTAGCTCTACGTTGCTTAACACACGATCGAGTGCTTGCCTATCAGAAAGTGAAGTGCATCGAAGTACTTCTTCTTTCAACTTGTCGTAAGGAGCGTCTGTGCTGGGCTGAACTATGTGTTGTCGAACCTGTTCGGCGATTTCGTCTGGTAGTACTGTACTCAATATGCCAAATTTAACCGTCTGTGACGTAAGCTTATTGGCAGTGAAATAATTTTCCAGTCGTGCAAACCAAAGATGGGAGTCTTTGGGCCTAAAAACTGGTACAGTAAGAGAAATAGTACCAACAGATCCCAGCTGTAAGGTATCAGGGGTATCGGAAGACATGATACAATTCGTAGAAAAATGGTTTAACAGTAACAAAATGGCAAAAATTATGCACACCAAGAATATGGTAAAACAGAAAAACATGCAATGCCGGTGCTTACCACAGATTACTGCGAGTTGTGCGATGAGAAAGCACAAGAATCAGCTCGAAATGTCTATTATATGTATATATATCCGATAAAGTTAGAGTTTAAATAATCCAGCAAGCGTAATGATGTGTCCGGGTGAACGAGTCAACAAGTTATCGTCGCAGTGAACAAGTTATCGTCGAGGTGAAAAAGTTGTCGTTGCGATGGACAATTTGTCGTCGCTGTCGAAATTGGTCGTTGGGCTCACCAATTTTGTTGCGTGCGTTATCTGACTAAACTGCTGTACACATATATTCTATGTATTTCTTCGCTCTTATTGATGTGCGCAGACGTTGTGGCTGCTCGACGCCCACAACGTAAATCAAAAGGCACTTGCAAAGATTACGAATGTGTATTGAAGCAGTAGTCAAATTCGAAATTGTGTCAAGGTAATATTCAACAGTGAATTGACAAGTATTTGCGAAGTACATATAAAATCGGTCTGTATACACATATAATGCAAGTATACAAATTAGATTAAAAAGCATGTTTACAGTTGGTATAGGGGTACTACAAGCTCACATAGCCAGTCCTTTGACCACTATCATCAAGCTCTCTCTCATTAATGGAGTGTTATCACGTGACTGGAAAGACGCCATAGTATGCCCAATTTACAAAGCAGGATCAAGACAAAGCCCTTCAAATTGCAGGCCTATTAGTCTCACCAGCGCTTTAATCGAGACACTGGAAAGAATCATCAAAAAGAGTATCATGGCATATCTGGGAAAAAACAAAATGTTATCCAGAGCACAGCAGGGCTTCCGAAGAAACCTCTCATGGCTGTCAAACCTCTTCACTACAAGAGAAAGCTGGGTTAAATCAAGGGATGTCATAAGAGCCAACGACGCCGTTTTCATGAACTTCAGCAAGGCCTTAGATAAAGTACCCCACAAAAGGCTAATCACGGAGCTGGAAAGCCTTGGTATCAAAGGGAGATTACTAAACTGGCTTAAGGAATTCCTCACAGATAGGAGGAAGAGGGTTAGGATCAACTCGAAACTCTCCTCTTAGACAGCAGCACGTAGCGTAGTGCCCCAAGACATGGTACTCGGACCTCTCCTGTTTATTTTGTATATACCAAAAAGTTGTCTGTGCTCACCGACTCCCTTATGGTCCTATACGCAGATGACTGAAAAATTTGGAGAGAGCTAAAGGGCAACAGTGATACGACCACGTTGCAAGAGGACCTCAACAAAATGTCAGATCGATCCATAGGATGGATGCTGCCGATCAATGTGGCAAAATGTGCAACCATGAACATCGGACAAGCAAGCACCAGCTACTACGAACTAGAGGGAATAACACTTCCATCAGTTCACACTCACTTCGACTTAGGTGTCATAGTTAGCCACGACTTAAAAACTGCAGCGCACTGTCACGCGGTGGCTACACGTAGTTTCAGGTCCTTGTGGGCGATTCGCAGAACCTTTAGTAGAATCACCAGAGACATGTTCACCTCCTTATATACATCTTTGGTGAGGTCAAGAACGGAAAACTGTATCCAGGCTGCCAGTCCTTGGCTTAAAGGGGACTCACAAGTTCTAGAAAGGGTTCAGAGGAAGGCAACACGTATGGTTCTCGGCATGACTGCCTTATCATGCGTGGAAAGACCAGACAGTTTATCTCTTCTCCCTGTCATATCATAGGCAGAGAGGAGATTTACTTACAAGGTTTAAAATTTTAAATAATGACTACGGACCAGGTCTACTTCCTCTTTTCCTTCATGCCAGGTTGGAACACCTTAGAAGACAAGTCAGGAGAGTTCGAAAGCCAAGAAGAAATCATATTGCTGCTGAGCACTGGTTCTCACATTGAGTTATAAAATCTTGGAGCCGACTCCAAGATGAAGTGGTCTGCAACCTCAACTGACTCATTCAAGAAAGGTTCGGACAACCACAGAAATTTACTACAAAAGGATTGACATAGGAATCAAGCCTTGTATACTCAACCAATAAATATGAGATCTGGATCTGAATCTTCTGAATTCCTCAATAACTTACTTTATCCTTCCGAACTCCTCAATTACATACTACATGTGAGTTCCCATAGCATAAGGTGTTTTGAAGCTCTACAACCTCATTATCGAGAATTTCTTCTAATTCCTGCAACCTAGTACAAAACACATGGCGATGGACAATAAAACTTTGTTTGGTCCGATTGAGGTCATTGCCGTGTTTGATCGCATAAATCACCTTGGGACGAGATCAAACACTGAAGCGGTAGTGGTTGAGGTAAGAGACTACAGTCAGTTCCTAGGTCATGATGAGTTCCTGCATCGGCTAGTTATATGTTCTCGTGAATTCGTTTTCCACTGAATTTTAAAGGTCTTTTTGCATGTTTTTCTCATTTTGCAGTGTGTAGATCAGTTTATTTCACTGGATGCTACTATTAAGGTGATTTTTAGCTTGTAGTTCCCAGTTTTTATGTAGGTAGTCAAGGTTTATGGTGAACCTGCAATGATTCAGCCAAATAAGGCATACTTTTCTAATATATTAACCTTATTCAATAAGTAAACTGCCTAACCGTTCTGCGATTGTTTGAGATTAAAACTAAGAGCTGGTTTCTTAGCATAAGCGGAAGTAAATGGAACCGACTGGGTTTGCTTATCCGCTCTGTTCCATCCCTCACAGGACATATTAAGCATGGACTAGCGTTATTTCAGAACTAAAAGACTCAATTCAGCACCTAGGTATCATTGTAAGCATGACCAGCGTTATTTGAGAAAATAGTGGGTAAATAAGAGCTTCAGTTACCATAAAAAGGCCTTATCGATGAATAGGTTAGAATAAGTTTATGAATATAGTAGGCTTGGTGGTGTTGCGGTCTAAGTGATAAATCGTATTAATCACCGTTATTCAGGATATGCTATGAACCGCAAATGCTCGGCTGAAAAACGTAGTAAATAAGGCACAGATCGTTTTAATTTCTAAGTGACTTTCAAAGCGCTCTCTTAACGAAACAATCAACCAAAGTATTCTTTAAACTGTCGGTCTTAGCCTTTTGAAAGGAAAGGAAGTGTAACTGCAGTTTATACATACATGTTTATATTCTGAATACAAATGGAAATAAAAAGGTAATACAAATATTTTCACAAAAATAATCGATTAACAGGGGCACGTCGTAATCTTAAAGTTGTTTGCGGTTCATTTGCTAGCAAACTGTCCAACCTTCTGGTAAACTCCGCTATTTCCCGCAGTGCAGCATCCGGATTTCTTCGGTTCAGACTGTTGAGACGATATCTTAAACGTTCATAAGCATTTCGAAACGCGTTGTTTGGTTCCGGTATTAACCGGATGGCCCTCGGAATGTTGTCCGTTGTGTTATATACACGTGTCCACCTCTCACTATTCCTCAGAATATCTAAGAGTAACATTTAAAGAAATGGAACATACCACAATTTAGATATGAGTTCAAGAACGCCTCAACGACATGTGCACAAGGCAAATTGTATGCGCAGTATGTCCAACATGTGCATTTCGCCTCGTTCCTGTTTACGAAGAATATGTGACCACCTTCTGCGTAAACAACTGAGGTAGAAGATATTGAATGGAAGAAGAAGGAACGCCTTTGTAAATCTAACACAACTTTCTGGGCAGCAAACGGTGTGAGACTCCGTAAATGAAACTTCAGGAAAAATCGAAAATTATCTTCGAACTTACATCGTAATTGTAGTATTTAGCAAGCATCCACTGGCCCTGACGTATTTTACGCATGGTTGTGTGGTCGATCCACCTCCATATTTTCCATAGCGTCAGTTCCATAGGATCACCTTTACGTAGATATCTTTTCAACTGCCTATGAGCATTCTCAACTCTGTTGTTAGTATTGTTCCCCATGCTGATGGTGAACCTGTTGCACGATGCAGCCCAATATTTGCGTGTTCTTAGCCAGTACCTTCTAATGTAAGCACCAGCCTCAGCGTCTACAATACTTATGAGGTTTAGGTAACGCCAAAACCTTTGGCAATATACTCTGATTTGCTAACCTACCTGTCATAACTGCGCGTGTGCGCCATTCGATACAACCACTTTTTAACAAGCTGGTTTGGGAACTGTTTTCCCTATGTCAGTTAATGGGAATGTAACTTACCTTCCTTCTGAATGCCTGGCATACATGGAAAAGACAAAACAATATTGCAACTAGGGAATTCCTCCTTTAGGGCTTTCATCTGTGCAGTTGCACAGTCGACAGTGAATGTTAATGTTTTCGATGTATCCACCATAAATCTCTTAAACGTTTGCAATATCTCCTTGATATCTGCAAACGTTTCTCTCCTAGTAAGAGCAAACAAAACAGTCCTTCCTCTTCCGAATCCATCAGTCACAACAAACTGATATAAAGGCCATCTGTAACAAATTTGGAAAAGGAATTATACCTTGTTGTACTGAAACTTACCCCATCTTATTCGTTTTGTAAGTACAATCGATTCCAACTACTTCTGGAAACTTATGATACACGTCTATCATATCATTACGAGCAAAAATGATTTTAGATACAAAGCCTGCGTTGTCCTGCAAAACTTTAACTGGACCTGTCTGCCTCAGTCGATGAAGCAGCTCTTCCAAACAACCAATTTCTATTCTACTGCACCATTTATTTTGATAGGACTTACGTTTATTTATCTTAGCCCGCATGTTTTTAATATCGTTATACAGGAGCGCTTTTCCGAACTTCTCATGTGCTAGATCCATGATTTCATGGACATCAGTATTCCTTTCAATGAACGGTTGGATAATTGCCATTTCTTGTGATGATAACCGACGTCTAGATACATCGGTGGACATAAAACTTGCTGTGCAGGGATGGTTATGCACAGTTTTGTACTTGGTTATCATGTATACGTTGGATTTCCGCTGGACTAGAATTATTGACTGACATGATGTACTTTTGAACCTTAAAATTTTTAAAATTTGCACACGCAGCCAACTTACCCTCTGTTCCTAAAGCCAGCACCTCGGGGAGCACGATGACTTCCAAAAGTGCATTTAAACTTAACAAACTTGTAGTCATCAGCACCGGATGGATCTTTTTTACTTGAATCAACACGATAGGATGTATTGGATTCCTTTCAAAGAAATAAAGAACAACTTAGTTAGTACCTTCATAAATGTGTCTAAAGCTTCCTTAAATTGTGTCCATGTATAAAATATACAACACAACATTATCCTTTGGAATATAGCTGTTACATCACACAATAAAGATGATATATTTCTTGAAGTAGACGCAGTAGGAGTACTTTGCAACATCATTTAATCGTTTTAACAATTCCTAACGTGCACAACACTATGACTTCAAGTAAATAAACACTAGTATATATTTCAGTGCTTATATACCACTGGCCATGACCTTGTCAATTTACTTCATTTATGCTGACGTAGTACGCACAATTCCCACAAATCATTGAAGTGACAACTTAAAAAAGTAGATTAGTTACTAAATATATATTTCTATATGTAATAATTCAGGACACATTAAATTTATAGAAATGGTAGTTGAATTATATTCGCCTAGTAACCAAAATGGCATACATCCTATTTTGGACTTAAAATAAATGCATCAAAATTATTGTTGATTTATATTCACTTTCTGGACATTCTCATCTCAATATACTTTAAACATCAACAGTGCATCCAAATAGCGTGTGACTGTCACACTACACTTACACCAAAAAAATTAACACGCCACTATAATATGATAAGGTAAGCCCGAAATTGCACTGACTAAATTTCCGTGTCAAAATACAAAGATTGGCGCTTTGATTTATATTTTAGACTAATAGAAAGCCAGCTAGCCAACAGTCAATAAAAATCTGCCTATATCTATTTTCGATAATTTTTTGGTGTGAATGTAGTGTGACAGTCACACGCTATTTGGATGCACTGTTGATGTTTAAAGTATATTGAGATGAGAATGTCCAGAAAGTGAATATAAATCAACAATAATTTTGATGCATTTATTTTAAGTCCAAAATAGGATGTATGCAATTTTGCTTACTAGGCGAATATAATTCAACTACCATTTCTAGAAATTTAATGTGTCCTGAATTATTACATATAGAAATATATATTTAGTAACTAATCTACTTTTTTAAGTTGTCACTTCAATGAATTGTGGGAATTGTGCGTACAACATCAGCATAAATGAAGTAAATTGACAACGTCATGGCCAGTGGTATATAAGCACTGAAATATATACTAGTGTTCATTTACTTGAAATCATAGTGTTGTGCACGTTAGGAATTGTTAAAACGATTAAATGATATTGCAAAATACTCCTACTGCGTCTACTTCAAAAAATATATCATCTTTATTGTGTGATGTAACAGCTATATTCAAAAGGATAATGGTGTGTTGTATATTTTATACATGGACACAATTTAAGGAAGCTTTAGACACATTTATGAAGGTACTAACTAAGTTGTTCATTATTTCTTTGAAAGGAATCTAATACATCCTATCGTGTTGATTCAAGTAAAAAAGAACCATCCGGTGCTGATGACTACAAGTTTGTTAAGTTTAAATGCACTTTTGGAAGTCATCGTGCTCCCCGAGGTGCTGGCTTTAGGAACAGAGGGTAAGTTGGCTGCGTGTGTAAATTTTAAAAATTTTAGGGTTCAAAAGTACATCATGTCAGTCAATAATTCTAGTCCAGCGGAAATCCAATGTATACATGATAACCAAGTACAAAACTGTGCATAACCATCCCTGCACAGCAAGTTTCATGTCCACCGATGTATCTAGACGTCGGTTATCATCACAAGAAATGGCAATTATCCAACCGTTCATTGAAAGGAATACTGATGTCCATGAAATCATAGATCTAGCACATGAGAAGTTCGGAAAAGCGCTCCTGTATAATGATATTAAAAACATGCGGGCTAAGATAAATAAACGTAAGTCCTATCAAAATAAATGGTGCAGTAGAATAGAAATTGGTAGTTTGGAAGAGCTGCTTCATCGACTGAGGCAGACAGGTCCAGTTAAAGTTTTGCAGGACAACGCAGGCTTTGTATCTAAAATCATTTTTGCTCGTAATGATATGATAGACGTGTATCATAAGTTTCCAGAAGTAGTTGGAATAGATTGTACTTATAAAACGAATAAGATGGGGTAAGTTTCAGTACAAGAAGGTATAATTCCTTTTCCAAATTTGTTACAGATGGCCTTTATATCAGTTTGTTGTGACTGATGGATTCGGAAGAGGAAGGACTGTTTTGTTTGCTCTTACTAGG